TGGCTTTTACTTAACAAAACACTGCTTGTGCTAGCAGAGATCCTGACGCCTTAGATAATTCAGATGATTCAGTTTCTGCTTAGCAAAGCTAACTGATTTTTATCCAAGGGTTCCCAGCTCAGTTTGAAGGTACAGTGCTACTAATTTATAGTCATAGTGCATATCCTGCCATACTTCTTTGAGGAAAAATTTCTATTGACTTCAGTTTATTCGAACATATTTTGTTTTAACAGAAGTGGTGCCATTGTAACAGTGAGGAGCAGTTTTTCAACTGCTAGGGCTCTGGAATGCTGAAAACAGCAAATCTCTGAAGTGCAGCCTAGAAGACGATAGTATATGTTTAGGGTGCAGAGTCACTTGAAATATAGCCTAAGTGCCTCTGGAAAGTAAATTTGCAAGTATACTCTCTTTATTGGGCTGGAAAGTACACCCTCCAGAGCAAAAGGAGAAAAGAGGTGGTTTCAATTTTTATTTTCCTTCTCTAAATAGAGAACAGCCATGAGCTAACAGGATTGTATTTAGAGCATAGATGTTTGCACAGCCATAGAAAAACATGTGTTTTTTATCAGGGTTAAGGGTTCTCTCCTACTAATGTTTCTTAATTAGTTCTTTTACTCTCTGCCTGTGGAGAGTGAGAGTCTAGAAAACACACTTCTTCCTGGCCAGGACTTTGATCGTTGCTTTCCCCTATTTCTCCCCTCACCTTGTGTGACAGTTTACATACCAGCAGTCATTGCTGCCCTGGACCCTTTCAGAAACAAAAGAACTCCATGAGTCTTCTGTGGTGAGCATCTTTGAATGGAGGCTGACCTCTGTGATTTAGTATTGACTGCTTTGTTTTGCACTGAAGAGCAATGAATAATACTGGTGTTGAAGAACATAATTTGATAAGGTCTTGAGATTTATTGTATAGTTTAGTGTTCTCTGAGGTAGAATGACAACGTAAGGTCTAACTTGCGTAGGCTATAGTTGACCAAATCAAATACAGTTGTGCATGAAATCTGAGACTGTGTCCTATATTAGTGTCTGCCTGCTATGTTTGCAAAAAAGTAGTATGTGTATGAGGTATTTGTATATGAACCTATGATCAGCTGGGTTACATGTAAGTGTAAAAGTGCAAATCACTCATCCTATTTCTTGCCTGTGACTCTGTCTACCAGTTGAGCTCTACCTGCTTTCATCGTGTCTCCTTGTGACCTTTGTGTAAATGTATGTGTGAAACAGACTGTGCTTCATGCTGAAAGTGATTGTTTGCTTTCTCTGTTGAGGAAGATGTGCACCAAGCTGGGTAGCAGGAAGGAAAGGATTATTATTTGTAGTCTGCTTTCTTAGTGATGGAGTTAAAATGTCATGAAAACTATACAACAAGGTACAGATTTACGAAGGTAGATGAAAGAGAGATGGATGCTTCTACATTACCTTACGTGATCATATGTGTTTGTTGGGTACATTTTCACTGGGTAAAGCAAGAATTCTTCAGCATACCTGTCTGTGATGGGTCTCTAAAAACAAAACTTCCTTCCTTCTGTCTTTCCGATGTGGGTTTTTAATTCAGGATGAAAGATGAGAGATTACTTACTAGCTGGTTACAGTGGAGAAGATGAACAACTAAACATAGCTAGAATTGGTGTTTACTTGAGCTTGAAAACTCAAAGATAATGTGAAAACACTCCTTTAACAAAACTGTGTGCAATCTAGTTCACTGCTTGCTTTGTGCATTTATGCTATGGTCTGTGTTGTGACTGATCTCCTGAAGATTTCAGACCCACTTACGTGCCTTCATTTGTTTATTATGGGAATAGGAGTTTATAGTAATACTGTTTATACTAAAGATGGGTGAACCATTACAGTAATAAGAGAAACCATCATGAACATTTGCCTGAACTCTAACCAAACTCTTTTGTGGTTTTTAAAGTTATGTTTCATTTCTCGGTGTCACTGTACATTGTTCTGTCAGGACTGGAAATGAGTGCCAAAATATAAATGGTATTTCTAGTGTCAACCTCAGATTTCACAAGCAAATCTTCTCTCATGCCAGGGAGTGTGGAGTTTCTTAGACCTCACAAGTTTCAGTAGTAAGTATAACCGTCCTAACTCCTGCTGCTTAGTGCAGGTAGCTCAAAGCACTTATCCAGTGAGGCTTGCCCATCACTATTTCATATGGGACAAGGTACTGTTGTATACCTATGGAACAAAATATTGTTTATTGAACTAATAAGCATTCCTAGGGGTATGTGTGCAGATGATTGCAGATGAAATACTGAAACAGAAAGTGCTGTGTAGCTTCATTTCCCTGCTATTCAAGCAAGGCTGTAATGACTGTCCAGCTTTGCTCTCCTTCCTACTAAATGTGTTGCAAGCCTGTCAGCTAATTCTTCTGTGAAATTATAGTGGAGCTGCCCAGTGCAGAATAAGAAAGTAAACTCACTTTCAGGCTCTATCAGATTTGTTTTGAGAACAAGATGTGACTAATGTGTTTCTGGAACCTGAGTTTTTCCAAATTTATTTGCTGTCCTGTAGGCTTTTCTGTTTCATATTCCAGACTTGGATCCAGTGTTGAGCTATCCGTCTAGTAGAGTCTGACAGATCAGTAGGGCCAATCTTGGGAGTTGTGCCTGTTTTTCTTCCTTTCTGCTCCTGAGGAGGAACAGTCTTCCTTTTTCCCTCCCTCCCTCTCTCTCACTGTTTATTGTTGTATTAGAGAATGATCCCATGTTTGTTTTAACTCTGAGATGAAGCTGAATTCACTGCTGTCCAGCACGCTTTAAAGTTGGTATGCTACTTGAATATTTATATCATGCTGACATATGCTTACTTTAGAGAAGGCTTTATTTCCTTGGAATATTTATCATAGTATCCAGGAATTTCCATGTTTAACTGCTGCTGGATCTGAATATTGTATATAATTACCTGGGTTCAAGCCCAGTTGCCTAAGGAAAGTTAACAACAACTATCTCTGTGTCACTAACTAGCTGAAGGAAGAACTGGCAAAGATTTTTCCTGGACTGATGTGGAGCAGCCTGGAAAGAAGATTCATACCTCATTTCAGCTATATAGGTAGCTCTGTCTAGCTCATTATGAGATGTAGAGACACCTTTCCCTGCATACCTGGCATCATGGATGCGGTGCCTATATCTGATGTGATCTGTTGACCTAGTTATGGTCTGGGATGGAAAATAAGATTTGACATTTTTGCATCCTGGTTTTTCCCCCTGATTTCCACCAGTCTCTTTCCTGAATGTTAAGGGGAGAGGATTGGTAGTTTCCTGCCTTCCTGACACACTTTGATGCTCTGACCCCCTTTGTGCATAGAATAGAAATGACCAGCTTGAGGCTTGATCAGATCTCAGCCTCCTGTTGTTTCCCATCAGCTTATACGACTCTCTTGGGCTTCTGGGGCTGGAACTACTCTTTTGCTGCTGTGTATAAAGAGGCACCATGATTTATGAATCAATTAATCACTGCATGCTGAGGAGCTGTTCATGGTAGTTAAACAGTGAAAATAAAATGCTTGAGTATATAATAAAGACAGATCATAATGAATATGACTCTCTACCAATGAATTCTCTTCCTCCCTATATTATACCCTCTACCTATTCTTTCCCAGCAGAACCAAACTATTAAGACATGAAATTTGGCTATATTAGATAGCACGAGGTTCATCAAATTACTTGATAAGTGTGATGTTTATTTGTGTGATTGCCCTCCACCTCTGTACTCTTCCAATCTGATTTGTTTGCTGCTAAACCTGCAGAGATGAAGAGTAAAAAAAAAAAAATACTACTGATTGTATATATTTTTGAATAATCATAAGAAAATACACCAATAAATCTCCAAAACTTAAGGAGGGGAAGGTGAAGTCTGCCCTGGCTGGTCTGTAAAACCACAAAAATGTGGTGTGAAATTCCTGAGAAATTTCCATCACGTCACTGTCATCGTATGCTCGGTGTCACACACACAGGTCATTGCTGTGTGTTTCTAAAACTTCATGATATTGTAAGAACTAGGTAAGTTTGGTGATAAGCCCTTGCTAAGATTGCTGTTTGGCTTCACAACTTACTGAAGCACTTCACAATTTAGGCCAACGTTCAATGACTTGTCAGATGAGGGTGGGCATATTTTTCCATGGAGAGCACCACTGACATTCAAAGATCTACCCATGAGGTAAGGGTAGGAGGCAAGAGGTTTTAAATCTGATCACGTGGTTTTGTACTAAAATTATGCTTTCTGAGAGAAATTACTCTTTACAGATTATTGACCCTATAAATGTTCTATATTCTAAATATTTTTTTATTTTACATTATCAGCAGATACCCAAAATAGTGGTAGAACATTTTGTTAACAGAAAAGGTGGTTGTTGTTTCTTTTGCTGGCTGAAAAGTGTATTCTTGCTAAATGAAATGCTGAAAAGCTCTGGAAAAATTTAGTAAATAACTATCTGTTTTGAATTCTGAAAAGAATTTTGGGAGAGTGATGGTACTTCTGTTTTTTCATTTTTTCTTTACAGACAGCTTTGAAATTTTACATTTTTGTTGCAGAGTATTTCCTGGATTTTTTGAGTACCAAAAGCTGGCAGTGATGAGCGGATAGATTTGTGAACCTTTGCTACAAGCCCACTGGTTTTAGTGGAGTTGCTGTTGATCTCTTATGTAACTAAGAGTAAATTTCATTCAAGCCAGAAATTAGGTGCAGTGGTGTGAAGCAGGTTAATTCATTCTCTCTGCAGTGCATTGAAGCTTGCAGTGGAATTATAAAATTTGCCACTTATCAGTAAAAGTAAAGAATTTTTTATTTCCAACACAGTCTAGTTTCTCATTTTTGTTCATCTCTGCTCTGGCTTATGTTGACTGTATCTAATGGCCTTTGTTTGCATTCTAAGCTTACCTCATAAATTGGCTTTTGAAATACACAATGAGCAGTAAAAATGTTTCACTGTGGTGACCATGGTTAAATATTTCTCTCCTGTCCCCCCTCCCCCCCTTCTCTGTTTGGTTTTTTAGGACCCAGGTTTCTCTTTGGTGATTCATGACAAGCTTCAAGTTCCCAATACCATTCGTAAGGCATGGAATGAGAAGGACAACAGATGTGACGTTTGTGCCACACACCTGAACCAGCTGAAACAAGAGGCCATTCAGATGGTGCTGACCTTAGAGCAAGCTGCCAACTCGGAACATTACGATGCCTCGCCAGGCTCTCCCCCACCTCTCTCCACTATCCCCACGTTAGTGAGTCCTCGGCACATGGGTAGCCTGCAGCCCAGGGACTGGGCATACATGCCTGCTCCTTATGCTACATCTAATTATACAGGTTTTGTTGCCAACAAACACAGTGGAAAACCCAACAGTCTAGGAATTGTCAATGGAGTGGAGAAGAAAAATGGCTCTTCTGGACACCAAGCCAAGGTCAGCTTTCAAATGGCCACCAGCCCCAGCAATGGTAATGTTCTCAACTCCGTGGCTATCCAGGCTCATCAGTACCTTGATGGCACCTGGTCTTTGTCAAGAACGAATGGTGTCACTCTATATCCCTACCAAGTAAGTATTTTAAAATAACAAAATATTTTTGTATTCTTCTCATTGAAGCTTGCATGGAAATGCTGACACTGCTTGCTTCTCTTGGGTAGAAGTAGAGCCATTCATATAGTGAGCACCAGAACAAGGAGTACTATAAATTCTTCCCTGATAGGGCATTGAGTTGGAGGAGACACAGATTGCAACCAGTATTAATTAGAATACCTTTTATTAATTCAGCTGTTATTAGTAATAGAACTAAGCTCTTGTTTTTAATAGCAGATAACTATCTATACAGCATATACAATTATTCCCTCACACAGTTCTCACTCACTCTTGCTCATAATACTTGGTTGGAGCAACAGCTGGGGGTCAAGCACATTTGTTTACTCAGAAGTGTAAAGCGGCCCTAGTGCACCAGTGACTTCTGGATTGATATTCAGGTGGTACCCAGTAGGTCTTTCGGTTCACTGTGTGTGATTGTGATCCTATAGTCTTTGTCTACATGTAGCAGGCCCTACCTTTGCTGATACATTCTAAGTTACGTACGTTCTTAGTGGTGTTAGTGTGTGCAGTTGGCCTTCTGCAGATTCAACAGATTCTTGGTGTTTTGACTGTTACCTGTTCTCATGGATTCAACAGGTCTGCTAGTCTCCAGACCTTAGCAGATCTGGGAAGATTTTAATATACTTCTCAGCATGTTCTTTTCCTCGTCTTCAGCTTGCTGTTTTCTGGTAACCACACCCATAAGTACTTGTAGAACCCATCCACACCAGCTGGCACAGAAGGGGCTTTTATGGCAGGAGGTAGGCTTTCCAATGCACTTAGCTGCAGGGGGTGGGATTTTCAGTGTGCCCAAGCATTTGCAAATTGCGACATAAATCTATTCTTTCTGAGTTCTCCCAGCCATCCCTGCTGGCCTCCTTAGGCACATAAATATTTTTGGAAGTTGGTCTTTCTACTATGGACAGATTGTAAGATAGATCCCTAAATTAATATTTAACATTTATCAGTATGAGTAACTGATATTACAGCCAGAAAAAAGTGGTGTTATTCATAAGCATTAAGATATTGTCATGCACCAAAGAAGACTTGGTAAAACCAGAAGTGAACTACAGTTACCTTATCTGAAAAATATGTGACTTTATAGTTTTGTGGATTTATGCTCTAGTGAACCTGAATAACATTTGACCAGGTCAGTGTGTGATCATACTTTGATCTAAGAAAAAAAAACTGATCTAACAAAAAAAAGGTAAATAAAGAATGCACATTAAGAAAATGGAACAATTATTATTTGTGTTAGGAAAATCAGTTCTTTTTTATTACATTCCCAATCTTTTAGGTTCATCTTGTATGGAAACATGGTTTTTGTTTACCTTTAAATAATATTCATGGTTCCTAGATGGCTCATTTTGTCTTTAAAATATTCACTAAGGAGAATGTAATGTTCAAAACTTTCTGGACTGATCCTGTAGTTTGGCTCCAGTTAAATTAAGGACTATTCCCTACCATTTCCCTCTCCTTTCAGTAACCTTGAAATAGAAAAGACCTGCCCCCGCTGCCAAAAAAAACCTATCAAAAAACCTAGACAAAACCAAAACCCCTAAACAAACCTAACAATATTGGTCTGTGATGGACTGTGTTGACAGTGTTATATTCTCTTTAACATTCCACCCTCAAATGTTAAAATTCTCACTTTACTCAAGTGTCACATTTAATTGTCCAGTCAAGGAACAATAATGATAGCTTTTTTATTTACACATGTTGAAAGGAATTTAGTGTTTGGTTATGTAGTATCTGTATCAGACTGGGAATTAGTCAAGTAAGAAGAAAAAATTTGAAAAGTAGTTTATTTGTAATTAAAGTAGTAGAAAGGTGCAAGCTTTGCTTTTTCTGTTTTTGTGTACAGAAACCAACTTATTTGCTACACATTTTCAGAATGTTTTAGATCTCTCTCCCATATAAATATTTTTTTTGTTATGGTGCTTACAGTTACAAAACTCTGCTGGGGAAGAGCACTAGGAAGATGAATCTGTTACCTCATCTTAATTGGAACACTTCTTGATTTGAAGGTGAATTAAAAAAAGAGGTGCTAGCTACTTACTTGCAAATGTCTATATATTAATTACATTTTCTTGCCTTCCTTTAAGAACAGTGATTAGAAAAATCTCACTGTGCATTAGGTAAGAGGAATAGAAAATAATTTCTTGGGATAAAAAGCCTTGCAGTTCACACAGAAATGTACAGTACCCTTCTACATCATAATCTTGTTAAATTGATGTCCAGGGAGAAGTCAGTCTCACGGCTCTAGACTTAATGGCGCCTGTTGTATACACCTCCCATTGTAAATCAGCTTTTTTTAGACAGTCTAGATAACTTGACAGAAATGGTTGAGTACCTTGAAAACTGACTGTGTTTTCTTCCTTGAAGTATCACCAAAAAGAGAAAACATTAGTTTGGAAGTGACATTCTGCGGCTCAGAACTGACTCACGGCAGTTTTAGGCACCAAAAAGTATTCCTACTGTTGTTTCTCCCTTCCTAGGATCTTCTCCTCCAGAGTGCCTAAAATTAGAACCTTGTTATGGGAAATAAATTACAACTTTCATTTCAGTTCTGTTATGAAAAGAACCACCAAACCCCAACATAAAAAAAAAATAAAATAAGGTGAGTGTTGTGATATTGTAGGGCCCAGCTGCTGCAGTAGTGTAGGGCAAGTCTTAAATGACATGCCAGTATTCAATGACTTTTGCAGAAAGAGTAATTGCTATTAGTAGTAAAACAAATGTGAATTTATACAGTACCAGATTTAGTAATGTATTACATGCTTAAAGTCTGAAAAATAGAAGTAGTAAGACTGTCTTTAAGTAGAGATGCATGTATACACATCAGATGTAAAAAACTTTCTAATAATTTCATGGAGGTATTATGGAGTCTTCTAAGAATAAGTCCAAAAATAGCTGATACGAATTGTTTAGGCAAAACTGGGCCCACCTGGAAATTAGGAGATGGCATAGATGACCCCATCAGTCCCCACTGGCCCTGTTTTATGTAATTCTGTATTTAGCCACTCCTTGACTACATGAAAACAAAGATCTGTTTCCAAAAACCTGTGATGTGCCCTAGGCCTGGCTCACAAATGATCAGCTGACATTGTTTTCTGTAAGGGCCTGAATCAAATTTTACTGGTAGGTGGTCCTCTTACAAAACAAGGAAAGGGAATTGATTGAAACAAAAAGCATGGCCTGTAAAAAGCCTCTTAGGAGCACTGGAATGTTGAAGTGATTACCTGATCAGAGTAAAAGTAACCCCTTTCTGTTGAATACATGTAGGAAAATACCAGCCAAAATTCAATAGAATTTGATCCAGAGTCTGAAAACCATGTCATCAGCAGGTAGCATTTGTATAACCTGGGGATCAGAGTGTGTTTTAACACTTGTAAAGGCTTCTGTTCATCTGTCTGTCACTCAATGGGATTTCAGTCCTTCCCTGCTCAGAGAAAACTGACTTAAATTGGTGAGGTTTTACCTGAGAAGGTCTGTAATTATTCGTGCTGGTGCTAATGTGAATTACAGGATACCACAGTGTTAAGTACTTTCTATTTCTTACTGGGTATTACACAAAACTTCTAAAGAAAAAAAAAAACCTTTGGGCACGACACACTAATATAGGAGCCAAAAGTCCAAATAGCTCGATGAAATGATTGCTTCTCATAATTTTTATAGAGAATGTGATACTAAATTGAATGCATAACATTTTTATTATTTTAGTATCTGAATCTGCTAAAGTAGCTAAAACAAAACCACCACACTACAGAATAAGATAGATTTAAGTCCTTAGTAGCTCAGACTGATTTAGGGTTTGCTTTCAAAGGGAAAGGAGTTTAAAGCAGCGACTAGATTATGCTGATTACACTAAAACACTTTTTCTGGAGTAAAAGTGCTCCATTATTTAAAGTAGGTGTTCCTCTTTAGAATGGACACCCTCTTTTAGTCTAAAAAAACTGCATAGTTCTTAGATGTTGGTGTGTGCCTCTAAACTAAAAGCATGGCATTAACTGCATTGTGGTGTGAGTTGCAGAACATAGAATGGTGAGCATTTCCTCAGTCCTCTAGTTACCTTCCTGGATCTGCATGATAATCTTTTCAAGTAGATTATTTAAAAAGGCAACCCCCCCCCAGATTTAGCATAGCGTGTTTGATAGATTTGAGTGACAGGAAGGTAAGAAAGAACCAGAAAACTGGAAAAGACCAACTGTTTCAGGAACAATGTGGGCCTTGAAAGGGAAGGATGGGTAACAGAAAACATGGCTGCTGATGTGGGTGAGCATCTTCTACTCCAGGCCTTGAGGCTGTGAAGTTTGAATTTGGTAAGGAAAAAGATTGCATGTAAGGATTTGAGTAGGGGTGTTGTGAACATAACTATATTCAAGCAAAAAGTGTTCCTTTCTCCCTTGTACTTAAAAAGATCCTTTTGACTAAAAGATTGGAAGATGAGATCTTAAACTCCTGAGAGCCTCTTGGCCCCAGGCATAATGATATCAAGCCTATTCAGAGAGTTATCAAAGGCTTTGTTTGTGTACAATTGATGAAAGCCTACAGTGTATGTGCTTTCTGTTTTCTCTTTATGTATAATGTATGTTTAGAAGAGCACTGTTCTCTGAGAAAGTACCAGCTTGTTCTGGAGTTTTGCAATGATGAATGATTTGTTTGGAGTTTACTTAGGTCATGACTGTCTCATAAAACATCAGTTCTTTCAGGCACAGGTTTTTAAAAAGAAGCTGGTAACGATTAGAGCTGGGCACAAGATGGAGAGTTCAGATACAGAGCCAACACCTGTGTGTGGCGTATTCCCATGCAGGATTTTGATTCCAAGCTTTTTTCCCAAGTCTCTGCTGTCTGATTTATTTCTCTTCCACTTGCTGCTGCTTCTGTCCCTTCTTAAAGTGGTCAGCAGGATAAATCTAAAATGTTAACGATTGCTATAGCAGTGCCAGGGTAATTTAAGTAGCTTCTAAAGCATATAA